CCTGTGCACACTAGTCTCCCTGTGTTGCTACTTTGCTTTTACATGCTCCCAAATACCTTCTGAACACTGGTTCTCATATTCATCCACCTGGACATGGGCATGTTCATTACTGGTGACTCTGGTATCAATCCTACTCATTATTGGTAACACTGCACTCTTATGACTATATTAGAGAAACAGTGCCATGGCTAATAGTAGACTTGGTGAGAGAAGACTGCATTGAAGAGACACATCAGGTAGGAGAGCTACTGGTGCATTCCTTAAATACTATATTGCAAATCCTATCCAGTCCTAGGGCTTTGTATCCACTGAGTCAAGTGACAGCATAGCTGATTTGATCTTGTCAGTATCTAAAGGAACAGAATCAGCAACAGGGGGAGGAGGACAGAAGGACTTAGCAATCAGGTGGCTCTTGTTGTTGTTGGTGATAGCTTCAACAATGGTACCACCAGGTCTGGTTGAGGTGAGGGTTGGTCCTTGCACTTTCCCCATTATGGGACTCAAAGGAAATGTAGTGGTTTGCTGTCCATATGTCCATTCCCTTCGATATCTTCAAGCCACTCTATCTAGTGTTGTTCCTTAGTGGAGGTAATCTCTTTGACATAAAGGTTCTTCATGACTTTGAGTTCCTCATGGCAGAGAGAGGCCTCTCATCTGATATGAAAGCCTGCTAAGTTTTGTGACCTGATTTCATAGTCCAGTGAGGTATCAGGTCCACTAATGCTTTACCTTTGCCTTTTGTGGAAAGATGGAGGATTTAAAATGTGATACAATTTCACTAGATTCAATCATCATATTCTGGAATTGAAGCAATGTGAATCCTGATGAGAGGTCAATATGTATCAACACATGTTGATAGAAATTAGTAGTCCTTATCTTTTTTTCTTAATGTTCTTGGATCAAACATGTAGTGAACTGGATAAAGTAATTGAGACTCTTGATACACGGAACATTTGAAAAACACAAAAGAAAATTAACATTGTTGTAAACCGTTATTTGAAAGATAACAAATGGAAAATTTAGCATTCTCCTTGAGGAAAATGACCAATATTCTATGTATAGAAAATCTTTGATATATTAATTTTTTCAATGTTTTGATAGGTAAAATACAGGGAAATTGTATCTTCTAATTGAATGTTTTTTGGATGTTTAGTGGAGGGACATGAGTAAATACCTACAGTGAAAAGATTCATTGAGTTTTGTATGATACATGATGAAAAATTTTAAAGGTAAGTGAATATAGTTCTCATATGTATAGGTGATCAAAATATTGTCCTGGAATAAAAACTTATAACATTCTAGGAAAATAGCATGATGCCAGCCTAAAAGCAACAGCAAAGTCTGCTTTTTGATACCACATCACTGAGTTTCTTCAAACACCATGGCACACACAACTGATATGATTAAACATAATTTGTAAGATGATAGAATTGAGGAATCAAAAGCAGTATTCATACAACTCTGTCATCTGTTTCTGTCCTTCACCCATGAATCTGTTAGTCTGTCTGAATGCAATACTAAAGAACCTCTGAAACCATAGAAGTGAAGGTTAAAGTGAGTGATTTTCTAAGATGGAAAAATCAAAAACATCACCCAGCACAATATGAAAGACAAGTCCAGTCTCATACTGGACAAACTGTCTATCACTAAACTGACCAAAGGGAATAATACAATAAACTACATCATTTTCAGCATCCAAATGACTGGTGGTGTTGCACTGGATGTTAAGTGCTAGGCCAGTAAAGGGTGCAGTGAGCATACAAAGTTACATTGTGTTAAGACCGTACTCAAGTAGTATCGGATCTGAAGGGCTTCGGCCTCAGCTCGTGCGCTGTGCCCCTTTCCCGAGTCTTGCCCCTTATTTCAGAGAGCTAAAGTATCGCGTCTAGTGAGACGGATAAGTATTGTAACGGATAAGTCTTGTATCGCAACGGATCCGTTAAGACTTCCGGATATCGAACGTATAGAGTAACGGCTAATCCGGATCGGATCCGGACTAGAAACTAACGGGTGAGGACTGTCCGAGTGACAGAGGCGGATATGTAGACTATAGGAATCTATCCTAAGTCTCGGAGTAGACAAGAGTAGCGTACTCAAGTCCGGACGGATAACAGGGGGACTTAGAGTCCAGACGGAATGAGTGCAATCTAAGATGATATTTGAACTGATCTACTACAGCGCATATACAAAGGTTTATATACTACGGATAGCTAACGGAGTGATCAATAAGCAAAGGTGCGAGGCTATGTACGAAAGTATAAGCAAAGTCTAAGTGAAGCGTATTGGTAAGTCGGATGGATCACGAATCATGAACCGGGAATGAAGTACAAGTAAAAGCGGATTCGTAAGTGTAGCGGATCAGTAAGCAAAGCAGAAGTAAAGGATAACCGGTATACCGGTGTACAGGAATACCGAAAGGAGATGAACGATGGTTAGAGTTATATGAACAGGAAATGAAATAAGAATCAAAGCGGATCTGTGGACCGGACGACGGATATGTTCATCGGATCTGGATCGGATCTGAGATCCGGATCATCGGATCTGTAACCGGATATATGGTATATGACACATTGGAAGTACAGATCAGGAAGATATTTTTCCATCATCTGTGTGATTATTTTGCATATATCTTTGAGAATCTCTGTTAGAATAGATTACTCCTCCAGATTGGTGTGCATAGTACTGGACACATAGGGAATCCTATGCATATGATTGATCTGGAATTTACACCTCTTGTGTTGTAAGACTGAGCAGTTATTTAAATAACATTACAAGGTTACTTGCATTTGGGAGAACAAAGAATCTTGCAAAAGGTGGATATAATATAATGTATCACCTTGCTTTGATGAACAAGCTGGCTGTTCATCCCTAATAATGGTGTCCCAAACAATGGCAATCTTGATATATTTAAAAGACAGCAGAAAGACACAGCTCACCAGCACAAGCAATGAAAGCTAGATGCTGTCCTTGCTTTGACATATTGGAGACTAATCCCTTGGATAACCCCATATTTTTCTCCAGCTGGCAAAACTAGCTGTAGACAATAGTTTAAAACTGAATAACATACTGAAGTCAATAGATAGGCAATGGTACTATAACAAAGAGTGTACAAGGCCAAATGAAAGCCAGCTAGATGTTGTCTGACATATAGATAAAGGAGAGATATTGGTTATGCTCATCATTAGTCTGACACTTGTGGATTAGCTTTTTCAAAGTGAGATCTTTTGTAGAGGTGGATTGATAGTGACACATGTTTGCTTCTGAATAACAGAGGAGATATATCAGTTTCCAATGGTGCAGTGAGCTTACCACTGCACTCTCATGCATCTGGAAGGATAAGAATATGGTGGATGTTTGATTACAGTTTGACTTCCCGAGATGCCGCACAGATTTTCAATGTCCGATCAGTGTTTGCTTTGAGTATTATCATTTATTTCATGTTATTTGATGTATACCTTGCATATATTCTGCCAGTCTGTGTTCGTCCCTCAGTTATTCATGACATGTGTTAGATAAGTCGGCTCATATCTTAAAGGGATTGCACGTCCCATCAGCACTTGCAGATACTGCTCGTACAAATCACCGATTGACCATCTAACATATGTATGTACGCTCCTGTCTGCGCTCCACTTGAGCTCCACATGATCTGCCTTTGTTGCATCTCTCTCCTGTCTGTGCTCCACCTGAGCGTCACATGGTCTTCTACGAGAATTCATATCTCCCCAGGCAGATAGCCTATATCATTGACACCATTCAGCCGCTTGGCTGTCAATGATCCGCTAATAAGAGAAGCCCAAGCCAATCCATCATGCCTGCCTTTTGTGGCACGTCTCTAGAGCTTTATTGTGTCGATGTAAGTCCATTCTGTACTTTCTAGAGATGTTGCTGCCTCAATTAATTCATTTCAGGATTTGCAGCGCACCTATGGCGCACGTGCTATACCTACTGTCAGGAGATTGCATCCCTAACAGCATCCGTCAAATCATCTCCTCTATGGAAATTCATGCGCATTTTCACACTCACCACTCCCATTCGAAGCATCGGTGACCCGTGTTATACTAACTTCGTTGATACCTTGGGGGAAGACTGTTCAGGTGCCCGTCAATCTCTCGATCTCATTCCCAAACTTCATGGCATCAACGATGCCATCGACTTTCTCTTCTCCCCTCACATTCTCGACGATCCCGCATCTTGCATCCAGCGTGTGTTCCTTTCTCCGCTAAACATCTTTGTCGACGAATTCAATGACATTATGTTGGAAGCTTTACCCGGAGATTTTGGTGAGCATTGATCACTGCCAACTGCAACGAACCAACTCAAGGAGAACACAGAATCTTACTTCAGCTCCAACTGTCTCAAAGAAGCTGAGCAAGCTCCTCCAGATGCTCCAGAACAATCTCCGGACTATCTCACTATGTTGACTCATCCAAACACGCCACCTCATCGATTGGATCTTAAAGTCAATGCTGTATGTGCAATACAGCGCAACATGTCCGTCGAAAATGGACTTGTGCGTAACACATGTGTGCGCATCACTGCACTTCATCGAAGATTTGTGGAGGTACAGATTCCCAACACTGACAAGATACATTGCATGCCTCGGATCACATTTGCTTTCAATCCACCATGCTCAAGCTGGACAGTCCACTGAAAGCAGTTTCCACCTGCAACCGGTCTCTTAGTAGCACTCTGCTTGGCCGTGAAAGTGACAAAGTACACGATTCTGCAGTACTGATGTTCATGTCAATGAGATGATCTACAAGCCAGAGTAACACTATGAGCAGGTAATTTATACAGCAAGAATGGTAGTGTGCTGAATACTAAAATGCTACATAACGAAAGGTTGCAAGCCAAAGACGTGACAGCACTTATTGCATATATGTGTGGTCTTGAAACTGTTACAATCAGATGTGCAGTTTCCTCCACCGAAATTGTTCATGAAAGCTCTAGAGAAGGCTTGTGTTAGTATGACAGTCGAAGGCTTAGTAGTAGGTTCAAACTCACGAGCCTGTTAGCACTTGGCAATCTGTAAGGAGGTTACCAGAACCTATGCCAAGTGCAGTCAGTTAGCTGTGGGTGACAGTCAGGTGAGGGGTTGAGGACTCGCCTTTGAAATCAGATAGATATACCATGTTGTTAGTAAGGTGATATTGCACGTGTTGAACAAAGCATAAAAACAGTCCTGATGACTGCTTCTCTACCCTCTAACTATGGGCGGGGACGGCGGAGTTGTTGTTGATGTACTTGACGAATTTTCCGCTAATCCGCTCCTCGATGAGATAGTTTGCGCCGAGGCCGTTGTTGGGGTCGTCGGGAATGGCTAGCACCGCACGAACCAGCCTTAGACGTGGTAACTCAACCACAACATCTTGGCTCACATTGCCAGTCTTGATCATCTCATCAATGAAGGTGTATGCCATACCGAGCAATGATGTGCCCCAGTAAAGGCAATTCACCTCGTCAAGTGTCTTTTCCAGCTCATCCTCCCTCGCAAAGCGGCAACGCCCCATGGTTTGGCCCTTCCGAAAAACACGCGTTTGGCTACAACCTGCTCGGCTGACAGAACAGATGGTGGCGGTGATGTAGACATGGATGGGACAATGTCTGCGTTTGAAATCAAGGCAGGGTGACACGTTTTGAAGCTTCCTGCCAAGCTAATCATAGATTTGGAGCTGGTGTCGATGGTGAGTGCGGCAACAGTGTACTTGCTATCAGTAGTACTGAATGGCGTAGAAACGAGCGCTGCGAAGCCAATGGAAGGGATGTCGAAGAGACAAAAGGTGATAGGGACACATCCAGCACCTGTCATCACATAATGTGAGCTAGTTGACTGATTCTAAAAGTTCAAGGCACATACTTATAGTAGAGGATGCTTGTTTTCTAACATTTCCCTGAGCTTTCATGACCGCTTGTAGTTGAGATTGGCTGGGTAAGAAGAGTTGTTTTGATATGTGAGCGCTTGCTGCTAAGACAGGTTGCAACTGTTTCAGCTTTGAAGGGCCGCCACAGACATCGGATTGGTCTTCATCCTTTGAGACATCGTCGTCTGCCAGGACCTCGCTAATGTCAGATATTGGAAACTGTGGTATCAAATATGGTTAGACCTGCCAATATACAAGCGCCTCAACTCACCTTCCTGGAGCGCTTGCATGCAGGGCGGCGTGGTGGCGATGGGCTAGAATCGTTGCTGCTACCTTGACTTTGCAGTACCCTTTTCTTTGCAGGGATACCAGATGCTGATGTTAGTACATTTTGCACATCAGCGTCGACACTTGGTGCAATGTTCTGTGAGATTGAGCTAAGTGTCAAAGGTATCGCTGAAAACATGAAAAAGACCTACATTGACACATTGCTCTTGCCAGAGCAACACATCCTCAAACTGCGCATTCGTCATTACAACAAGGATGGAGCCCTCAGAGCATGACAAACCTCCACGTTGCGCTGCTGACATTGCTTTTTGTGACATGAATGATAATGAATTTGAGTAGTTTTGGACTTAGACTTGGACTCATCAAAGTTGGACTCACCGATGCTTGTAGCTTGCTGGCCTCGAGTCTGTTCTATAGCTTTATGTCCCTCATAATGCTTTGCGCAGGTCGGGCAACATGTATGGCCTGAGCCGTCTTTACCACGCACGTATGTAAATGGTACAGTTGATTCGAAGCGTGTGTTGCAACGCTGACAAAGTCTCCAGCTGTTTGGATTCATGGGAGTAAAGTCGGCCATGGTGGATTCAGAGGACGAGCAAGGGATGCTGGGGGCTTTTGAACCATGTTAGACATAAAATAGCTCAAGCGATCTGCAGTCATGGTTGTTCTTTTGAAGTGTGATTCTCAAGTGGTCAAATAGAGGTGTCTGTCTTCCCAAATCCTGTAGCCTGATAGCTAGCCCTTCGATGCACTGGACCGACCGACTGAGCCTGACTCGAACACGTCAGAAGACACCATGATCAGCATGAGACCAACTAACAGAATTCTCTTGCTTTGAGCATCACAATCCTGAGCAGTTGTTCACGGGAAAGCAAGAAGTGTTCGATAAGGTGGTATGCGATACTGACACCAGTGATACCAGCCTCAAACAGGAAATCAATTGTACTACAATATCGATGGCACCAACAGATGTGGACTAAGATAGACTACAGTACTAATCGACTTGTTGAATCTAAATTGCCTCCTCATCTGTCCAGGTAAACTCGTAGAAGTCAGACTCTTCATCTGATGAGTTGACTGCCGCAGATTCACCAGTGGGTACATGATATCCAGCCCCTTTGACAAATGGCGGTAAATCCAGAACATCCATCTCCTCAGACCCAATTAGTTTTTCACCGTTGCACGGGATTTTTGGCTGTGCGGTAATGACACTTTGAATGGGATCCTCGCCTTCAATGGCTCGAAAGCACATAAGAAGACCTGAATATGCATCCCAGATATTGTCACGAGTCAGTACAGTATGACTGAGCTCAGACATGAATGCCGTAGAGAATTCCTGGGGGTACCGAGAGAATAACGGGGTGATCTGAAGGAGCGTATGTTTTCCGGACCTCAAGTGAGGAATTATCGACGATCACCTGAAAAACATTACTATATGGACAAGAATGTGTCTGACAGCTTACAGAGAAGTCCCGACAATCAAATCTCTCAGGGCAATCAAAGATATCATTGGGGCGACCATGTGGTAGGATTTTGTGCATGTTGAAGCGGGGTTTAGTGTTGTTGAACTTATCGGCAAAAAGATCGAGCTCATGCTGGAGCCACGGAATGAAAACAAAGTGAAATACAAGTCTATGTTCCACGCAGCGTTAGTGCAAGAAAGTATCAAAGACATACAAGAAGAACCTTTCAAGTGCATCATCCGGGTTATAGATGCCTGCACTCAAACCGAAATCGAGAATATCTTCAAAACCCAGAGTCCAGCGACAGCGCAATTGGTTCCAGAAAATTTCTGGCTTTATATTGCGATGGTCGCCTCTGAACTTGTGCTGCAGGGTGCGTGCTAGACCTAGATCTTGAAGATGATGAAGCATGGTGTGACCATTCGCAATCCCATTGTTCTCTGTGCCCAGATCGCTTTGGGTAACGAGAGGCATAGCTTGAATGATTGCATTAGTAGGCTGACAATTGAGACTGGATGCAAATAATTACCTCCAAGGCTTTGGACCGTGTCACAATACCAGCCACAGATCAAGCGTGGATTGTGATTGGTCCACCAGATCTTGAGCCAGAGTATTCGCCCTGAGAATGGCTCAGTACCAACATGTAGGAAGAGCTGAAAACGACGCCACTTGTTGTGTTGGTCAAAAAACCCATATGTCATGAAGACCTGCAGTCCAAAAAGTGCTGCGTTTGAGCCGGCGACTCTTCCGGCGCTGAACTTCATCCGGATGGTGAAGGTTCATGTACCGCAGTATTAAGTCTCTGAAAACAATTCAATCAGTGTAAATGTGTAGCGACAGAGCATCATGTACAACCTTGGAACCATAATATGTTCCTCTTGCCTAAGGGTTTGCTTCATGTCGTGCGAGCCCTGTTTGGGGAACCATTGACATTCACGATGGCAGGTCCAATGCTTTCAATCGTGTGCGCTTGACCACGGGCAGACATAACTCCCCACTGTGAACATCACTTTTTCAAGAGGCTCAGTCTGATAATTCAAACATCAGAAGCTCTGTTTGAAGGTATGTTTAAGTAGCTATGACTCACGATATATTGAACTTGCTAGTCTCCTGGTGTGCCCGAAGACGAGAGATGATCTCTTGATTGCTGTAACCATTGGCAACATACTGCTCTACAAGCGGTCTTATGATTGCATCTGGAGCTGCAAAGTAATTAGCGCCAGTGTGATTGAGTTAACTGAACCCAGTTTCAAATGCACTTACGACTAACAACACCTCTCCTGTTTTTGCCTTGCAGGTTGGGATTAGAGCAAGCCTTGAAGCGCCAGCCTGCGTCAGTGGTTCAATGAGAAGATATATTGATACAATGAACCACGGATTCACACCTTACAACCCCCTCGGGACCGCTGAGGAATTTAGATTGGAATTTAGATTGCCATTCTTTACAAAATCGCTCTAGTAGAATATTATTAGGGATATACACAAAGACAATATTACTGAAACCAAACAGCAATCGGACATTGAAAATCTGTGCGGCATCTCGGGAAGTCAAACTGTAACCAAACATCCACCATATAAGAAAAATCTGTGTCAAGCAACGGCAGCTTCAAGTTCAAGCTAAACACAGAATCCACCAGAACTTCCCACAACCTCCAGCTCCTCCCAGCCTGGACACGTGACTCCATGATCCATTTATGTGTCAATACACAGTGCATCAACATACATTCCCTCAGCAATATCTTACACAGGGTTTGCATTTGGCTGTATATATTTCTCTGTACTGCTATACTGTGTAGCGGACAGATTTGCTAGTAGCATCCTAATGGAATGGCACGCAGGAAACAGCACCTTCACATTGAGTTTAATTTAGTCTTGTTGAGCCTTGTGTATGCATGTTGTATTTGCTTGTGTTTGTCCACAGTTGGCTTACTTGTGCCTCTTTCTTCTTCTTTCTGTCTCTCTCCATCCAATATGTGCATTCAACTCTTCCCAACTGCCTGGCATACCCTGTAGTGGGAGGCCACCTCTTGTGTATGCTGGAGATATGCTAGCTGGGCCGGTGAACCCTCTACCCTGTATAGGGCAGGGGTTCTCATGTGTAATGCCTAAGAGGGGTCGCTGCTGGGACTGATCTGGAGTGCAAGTGGCAGCAATCACTACGGCTTAAATTTGCAGTTGTAGTCACTGAGACTGATTTGGCCACTGTTACATCTTCCTAACCGCACAGCATTGGCCTCCCAGTAGTTGGAGGTATATCTGGCATATGCTGGAGTTATGCACTGACATAGTCCAATATTTTCCTCAGCTTCTGGAATCCAACCCTGAGTCATTGTCACACATTATCTACATATATCACTGCAATTGTTCTGTCAAACCAGGTGAGCTACATGATCTATTTTTTGTATACATTATTTCTCAGTTGATCTTATGCAGCCAAACAGACATTGAAGAATGTACTAGAGATTTCATGTGCCCACAAATCAAAGGACAACTTAATCATGGCATTGTTCATGGATGGAATCAAACTACAAACTACAGCTGGCCATCCAATTGATGTCATAATAAATTAATCATGTGTTACTAATGTATCTGAATGATAAGGTCAGCTAAATCGAGCCATAAACCATTAAACAAGAAAGAAAACAAAAAACCTGGTTGCTATCATTCTTAAACCATTGCTGAACTATGAGACAGATGCCTGGCTGACCAAGTAATGTTGGAAATGCCAGACAGCATAATACAAGATATAGTCATTGCCTTTGATTGCAAATGATTTTGGTGAGTACTTCTATCACTGTAGTGGGCATATGTAGGGTACTGATGTGAAACCCAACTTGAAGGTACTTTAAGTACTACTGTATGGCTGCACTTTATTATGTGGTCCAAAATCTACAAATAACCAACTGAGCCACTTGTGTTCACTTATTACTTATTAGACCAACATACTAATTTACTGGCTAGTGAAGGGTTGAGCAGAGAACATCTAGCTGAAAGCTTCCTTCCAGCATGTATTTGAGCCTGCTAATGCAATTGGGCTAAGCACTTGTCCAATAATGTATAAGGGAGGTACTTACTTCCTATTCAATATCATCAATGATGCTGGAGCTTAATTGTCTTACTAATATCAGACCAATTGGCATTGATACCTTACTAGCTCTATATTGAAGGGATTTTATGGAGAACATTAAGGTGGAGTTTAATTTATGATGATGACCCCTCAAGTAGTAGTTAGGCAGATACTGGCATCAAAGAAGATTTTGAGGGCTAGAAAATACAGAAAAGCATTCACGGGTCTGCCTTTAATGATGCCCCTTTCAGGGAGACTACGGTATACTGAGCTATCAGCTATTCAGCATCGGTTCCCATGAGATATCTTTTAGCTTGTGCCATTTCCAAAATTAGCCTCAAAGTCCTCTGGGATTTTGCTAGATCAAGTGTAGAGGATGCTTATGAAAATCAATGTCTTTTATTTACTGGATCTCAGCAGAGTTTTTAACCAAGTTCAATACTGAGTTATGAGTGTTAGATATGAAAGGCAAAACATCTTTGAGCTCTGTTCTTGAGCTGTGCATAAGGAACACTTTCCATTTATTTCTGAGAAAATATTGGAGCAATGCTATGACATTGAACTTGGCATCCCTTTGACTCCTGAGTTTGAGACCTCACCTGTAATGTACTCCTACCTACTCAAAGCTACCTAAGCAACTTTCAGTTCCATGTTATGAGTGTATATTAGCATTTGTATCACTGGCTGGGCATGCATAATTGATTGTACTTGCATTGGCATCGGCTATGAAATGCATTGCCATATCAAATGATATACATATATATCTTACATTGAAGACAAATGTGTAAGTATTGCCTGACAGATTTAAGAATGTAATGAATAATTGTCAAGGCTGAGGCAGATCAATGCCTAGCTCTGTCCAGATAGGCTCACATGTAAAATGAGCTATGGAAACCCTTTGACCATCTTGGAATGGCAATACCTCATGAAGTAAAATATGACCTAGTAAGAAAATGATGCTACTAGGCCTATAATACAGTAGAAGTCTCAACTGGTGGATCCAAAGGCATCTATTTTTGAATGTATTTAATTACCTTGACATGTGGATACTTCTTGTACAGTGCACCTTATAATTTGAGCATTGCTTGAAACTGCCGGGGATTTAACTCTTTCAGGGTAGAGTTCAATTATATGTTGAGGAGTGAAAGGTTGTCAAGTAAAGAAATAAAGTAGTCTCCAAACTGAGTTGCTTAGCCAATTTAATGAGACCTCAGAAGATGATTGCATTTTCTTTCTAGTGTCTTGTGAATAACTTACTACATGTCCCACAACATGTCATGTAGTTACTAGTTTTATGTTCCTAGCTAATTGACCCTTCACTATTTTATACACTGCCTTCCATCCCTCCCTTCTTTATCAGCTTCATCTCCTATCTACAGTGTGACAGGTTTCTCAAACCCCATAACAGCAGGATATAGCTTTTTTCTTTTTCATGAATTACAGCTGGGAGATAGAGCCTTGAAGGTTCATTGAAGGATGTTCTTTGCATCTATTCATTGAAAAGTCCATAAAAGCAAACTTGTTAGTTTCAAACTGAGAGTTATGATCTCTTGACCATTCATAACCTTCATCTGAATGTTCTAACATACCTGCTAGAATATGGTAAGTATCAGTAAAGTGTTTTGCTATGGCAATGAAGGCAGTGTCATCTACAAAGGCAAGAGTTAGTTCTTTGAGTGATTCACATCCTCTTCAAGGTTTGGCAATTTCCACCAGCCCTGAGCTGTAGATAATGTACAATGGATGATGTTCTAGAGTATAGGTAAGCTGTTCCACTATAACAGCTGTAAGGAGTTTGCTAGTGGTATTAAGCAGAGCAACTAGATAAAAGGTTTTTGGGACTGAATAGTTAATTTTCCCTGGTTTCTAAAGGACTTATTGTAGGACCTGAAAAACTTATCTAACACAGTTCATCATTGATGGTTTTCACCTCAAGTATAATAGTTTCAATGTTGTAGGTATCATTCTAGCACTAAAATTTCAGCATTAAATATTGATGGGAAGTCCATTCACTACTACTCTAACAATACTCGTTAGAGATCAGAGCAAATACTTTGTTCATGGGATGGAGTCAGCAGGTAAGAGAACTCCATAAAGGATATAAAAATATCATTATGGAGAAGTGATTGTCAATTAATCTAGTTATGGATGCATATATGTACTCTCACTTTTCACTTGTTCAGATTCTCAAACATAAATTAGTCCCTATGGTGGAAGCCAAGGATTATAAGCTGGATGCTACCTGCAAAGTTAGTTTACTAATAACATTAGGGTAAATGCTGATGATTATCTCTAAATACAGATACTCTTGTGTCTTATCTGGGTTCACCATACATAAGAGTCAAAGTCAAAGTCTTGACAAGGTTATGGTTGACCTCAATGATGTATTCACCAATGGTAGGTTAAGCTATATCATCTCAAGCTTATATAGCACTATCTCAGGCTAGGTCTAAAGAGGGTTTCAAATCAGAATTTGTAATAGACTCTTGAAGTTTATTTGATTCACTATATGACAAATTAAATCCTACAAAGAAGCATCTGATTGGAATTAGAGCAACTTTTCTGCCATTTGATTAATGTACAGTGGCTCAAAAAACTGTCCGCATGTTTTGACATTTTTCACTATCTATGATATTGTGTGAGAATGAACAAATTCCTCAAGGACATACTTATACCCACATTGTAGTATGGCTTCAGGGCTTTTATTTGAGCCCTACACCGTGGGAATCGGCGGAGATATGGTGGAGATATAAGGCTTATAAAATGATGACTCATGTGGACAGTTTTTTGAGTGTATATTAAAACTATATAAATCATTATTTATGACACCATAAAAATCATGCCACTATTATATAAATTATAAAGTGGTGTCATTATGTTATTTTATGACTATATCTAACTATATAAACCAGAATATCTCATGTATCATAGTCATAATCACCATGAAAGCCATCTCCTCTGCTCAAAGAGATAATATCCTCTCTCTGTCTTATGCTGGCCTCTCTGCTCGCCAAATTTCCTCTAGAACTGGAATATGCAAGTCCACTGTGGCCAAGTTCATCAAAGAAAGCCACCCAGACAAGGAAAACTCTTGTGGAGGACGTCCATCCAAGCTTACCTCTACTGACAAAGGGCTATTATCCAACATATCACTACAGGAAAGGCTGATAATGCTGTCCAAGCCACCCATTATATCAATTCCACCATCACTACCCCTGTCTCTTCACAAACTGTGAGGAATGTTCTCAAGGCAGCTCATCTCAAGGGGTATGGGGCTGTATGGGATGGAATGGTGTGGGAATGCTTGCTGAGGTTGAGGGGAAGATGAATGCTGAGCAGTATGTGGACATTTTAAATGACCACTTGCTGCCTAGCTTGGCAGAATCAGGGATTGATGAAGAAGATATCATTTTCCAACAGGATAATGATCCCAAGCACACATCCAGAAGAGCTAGGGAATGGTTTGAAGAACATAACATCAATGTTCTTGACTGGCCAGCACAGTCTCCTGATGTCAATGTCATTGAACATCTCTGGGGAACACTCAGGAAAAAGCTTCAAGCCTATGAAAACCCCCCTAAAGGAGTATGGGAGCTTTGGGAGAGAGTAGCAGTGGAATGGGGGAAGATCACAGCTGAGGATTGCCAGAAATTAATTGAGAGTATGCCTAGAAGGATAGAGGCAGTAATTAAAGCCAAGGGAGGTCATACAAAATACTAGAATACCTGGTTATTACTGTAAAATACTTGAGTCAAAAAACTGTCCGCATGAGTCACCATTTTGTGAGCCTTGTATCTCCACCATATCTCCACCGATTCCCACGGTGTAGGGCTCAAATGAAAGCCCTGAAGCCATACTACAATGTGGTATAAGCATGTTTTTGAGGCATTTGTTTGTTCTCACACAATATTATAGATAGTGAAAAATGCCAAAACATACGGACGGTTTTTTGAGCCACTGTATGAGAGATGTGTTTCTGCTGACTGTGGCAATCATGGTAGCCTCTGGCAGGTCACATACATGAGCGACAAGTGGCATAAAGACATAACAAATGTATCAAGAAGGATCAGGCATAAAACAACCATCCTTTGCTGCGACCTTGAGGCTGGCGCACACAAGATTGACACATTCATGCCATAGTCTTGCCTGCAGAATGCCCTGATAGTCATAATGTACATGAACTTAGCAATGGGCATGTAAGCGATACAACGCCAAGCTCGTAGTGTGGCCTTGGAGCGAATTTCTGAATCAAGGTTACCGATTGTGATGAAGAGTGGGTGCATCTCAATTCCTCCAGTGGTGCATATCACAGGTGTTTTATCTGACCCCAAGATGATCGGTACTTGTGTAGCACCGACTGGGAGATGGTCCCAAGAACACAGAATCAATCTTTGAACAGTAAACTTAACAGAAAAAAATTGACCTGAATTTTCCATGCCATATCGGCGCTCATATAATCCCCATATTCTCGTTGACCTCCAGTATTGATGACATGCGGCTGAAAGGTGATGTGATTGGCAAAAATAGGATCACTGAAGAGCTGCTTAACGACCTCTAAAGCATCACGCCAGATGAGTTGCACAGGGTAAGTAGTCTTGTAGCCTGTAAACTCTATGTTTGAGACCTTCCATGGCACAAATGATGGCAGTGCATTGATCCAGTCTAGAAGTTGGTCCTTTGAGGAGAAAGATGGTCTTGGACGGGTGTGAAACCGTAAGCATAGAGTCAGACCTGTCAAGTAGTGCTCTAAGTTGAGTCCTACCCATTTTAACTTCAAAAACTTGTTGATCTGAGTTTGAGTCAGGTTTTCAACCAGAAACCTTCCCAATTCCCACTCCCCTTCGTCATGAAAAGGATGATAAGTGTTGATTTTTCTCTGATAATCATATAGATCTTCCTGCAACCTGTCGAATAGGTTTTTGCCGACACCAAAGATATAGCCAGATTGAGGATGATAATGGCCGGTGGTAGATGATCGCAATGAATGCGAACCTTGCAATCCAGGTGGAATTGGGAATTGTTGTGGACATGATTCGTGAGGCCAACAGGTAGACTGAGAATTGAGATGCAGAATAATTGCCTCAATAGAAGGGAACTCCACATTACAGTTTGGACAAAGCCTGGTAAAGGTATGTCAATCTGTACAGTTATGATCATAAAGATACTCACATTTACCAAAGGCTCCTGTGCAAGTATTTCCTTGTCAAAGCTTTGCTGACGTTGCAACACAGAAAATGGTGAAGTCTTTGAGACTCTGCAGACTGTGCATTCACAGGGTATTGCCATACTAAATATCAGCCTATAGGATTAACAGATCTCTTCCATATATCAGTACATTTATCCCGCATCACCAGATTCAGAGTTCTTATAGACAATGTCTTCTCCATCTCAGCGCAGCAGTCCTCTCCCAGTCTCATCTCCTCCTCGCCCAAGCAGTCCCCTCGGCCCTCCTTCAAGCAGCCCCCCATATTCTCCTCTATCCAGTCACTCCAGTAGACGTCCTGCTACTCCTGGATCACTTCTTTTTTATTCTAGCTCCAAGATAGGGAGCTCTCCTGATATAATGCACTGACTCGTGTAGTTCACCACAAAGCCTGCAGCTACCTAAGCCTGCTGAAGACACACATAGCATATTATTTGATCCATCTAGCTCTCCAAACCTTGAACGTGCTGCTCGACGCCAGTTCATACACAGCAGAATGAAGAAGAAGCAGTCTCCATATCCTGTGTATCCAGCTCCAATTGAGCTCTGTCATGCAGCCCGTTTCCTGGGGCGAGAGAGCAACCCATATGTATCATTTGACGCAATTTCCAAGGTACAATATATTTCTTCTATCCACGTACAAAGACTAACTTTTGAATTTAAGCATGCTGGATACTTGGAAAATGGCCTTGCGACACTGCATCCATCAACCTTGTACAAAGGATATAAAGCCAAACTTGCTGCCTGCGAGACTGCCTGCCAGCATCTTGTGATAACTGCGTGGGAAATTGAGGAATCTGAACGTTTTACTGCATTCCTTGATGCCCTGCATGCCGAAAATGAAGACCAACTGGGATTGGTGGACAAAGAGTTGCAGAGGTTTAGGTCATTTTTGCTGAGCATGACCACCTGCAAGTTAATGATGATAGAGATTATCTTCAAGCCATCTATGAAGATGAATGCGAAATCCTTTGTGTTACCTCAGCCCAAGCTGAACAGATCTCCAAGATCTTAGGTTCACGGGTCAAAGATGCTTTCTTGCAATCCGGAGCTGCGGAATCGCGACCCTGTAGTCTAGATATTCCTGATGATGAAGACGACCCCATCATTCTAGACAGTTCTGAAGATCTGGATTCCAAAGAAGAGTGTCCTGGGGTGGGGGCTGGCAAAACGTCTCACCAGCCACATGCCCTTCCAATTGTGGTATGTGAAACAGATTTCTTGATACCATCTTATGGAACTGATCAATTGATAATAGGACATGTAATATGCATGCTGTAGTAGTGCTGCTGTTTGATTATGACCACCCCATATTGTATCAGTTTGTCACCCACATGCTTTACTTTTACATCATACCCCTTCATCTTACCCTCCTTTAGCACCTTCTCGCTGCTTTTGATGATGTGTGTTTTGTTTAAGTATGATTTGTAGTAGAATGCTACATGGATATTTATCTGTACCCTTGATCCTTCCTATTCCCTCAATCGCTGCTCTAGTAAATGCCTCCAAAACGTACTAAAGGTAAAATAATGATACCAAAACCCGCTTGCAGGTCTGGTCTGAATCCTTCGCACTTCCCTGCAAATACCCAGATGGATCTCAGCGACGAACAACCAGAGGAGCCAACATCAAATGCTTTCGATCCGCATTCGTAGTACGTGTCTTTCTCCATGTCAAGAAACACTACTAATGCATGCGTTAGCTACAGTAACTATACTAATCCGTCCTTCAGTACACATTCCAGTTTTGTGCCCTTCAACTACAATGATGACACTCATGCTGGCCCATCATCAAGTGCTGGTCTTAATCCATCATCAAGCGCTAACTTGCAGTAAGTGTTTTTTTTCATTTCAAGATCTACTACTGATGCACATGATGCACTAGCTACAGTAACTATACCGATCCATCCTTCAGTACACATTCTGGTCATGCACCCTTCAACTACGATGATGATGCTCAGTCTGGCCCATCATCAAGCGCTGGTCTTGGTCCATCATCAAGCGCTAACTTGCAGTAAGTGTTTTTTCGTTTCAAGATCTACTACTGATGCACATGATGCATTAGTTACAGTAATTATACTGATACATCCTTTGGGATGCATTCCAGTCATACACCCTTCAACTATGATGACAACACTCACGCTGGCCCATTGTCAAGCACCAACTATTCACTGCCTAACTATCATCCAGACGAGCTTTCAGCACTTGACGATATGTCAGGTATTGCATCCAATCCGCATCACATCCAAGTACCGTACTCGTCCACTGAAGCTGAACCATCTCTGGGACCTCAGCACAATCCTCTCCCCATTACAGTGGGGGAGATACCGGTCTCACAAGTCATTCATGTAAGTCTTAATTAGCATGTCTCATTAATCTCACTAAAAACTCAACATTATAGACTACAGGACCTGCACAATCATCTGATAGATGGCGACATGCTCGAAAGTTGCCTGGAACCCCATATCTCACTCGTCAAGACTCTGATGTATGGGCCAACATTGCCGCGACAACAGAGGTGAACGTTACTGTGGTGCAAGCAACCCCAGGGGCCCCAGACGATAATCGTTACTTCATGGTCACGGGAGCCGTCCGTGACCAAATATTTCAGCATGCAAAAGAACTTGCAATGGGGGTTATATTCACAAAAGAGGCAATGGCCTCATCGACTGATGACAAAAACTGTATCGTCAAGAATCTCCTTCGACAAGCAACACCAAAATTTCCAGGGCTTTCTGGTATGTTGAGTCATATAATTATTCATTAACTGATGTACCAGTAGGAACACCACGCTGGAGCAATAAAAGTAAGGACATTATGAAGATATGGTGCAATATCATTGTTGTGCGCACAGTGCTCATGACGTTCACTCGAGATGGAATTGTCATGGCGTACGACCTTTTCCCTCCGCAGGGCAGCCAATTTCCCCCTGAGGCCTTCCGTGTCACTCGTGTTGGACATCTCATTTGAGATAATAGCTTCATGCACAAATATTCATTTAAGGTGGTACAATTTTTACTTAACTCCAAATGACATACTGAGTTTTCATATAGGATGGGACACTCACAATTCACGCAAAGTTCAAGAATCTGTTTATCCTCTTCCTCATCACCAAACTCATCTGGAATACCCGTTTCTGATTGGACAACTTGCTCACCTCACCACATGAACAGTTACGCTGCATGATGGGATTAGCTGCCACATTCACGAAATGCACGCTGATGGAACAGGGACGTGAGGTGCTCAGTGCTGCATGTAGGTTATCTCCAGAGGCAAACTCTTCGATGTTTGATGGTATCTGCTCAGAGATGGATGATCTCAGCATTGAGGAGGAGGCTGACTTGGACAAGTGGATAGATCACATAGTGGTTTGTGGTGTTTCTCAACAGCATATTAAGGTCGAGCTCTCTGATTTCAACTTGGACTCATACTCAGACTGATGCGGCCTGTGACCTATAATTCTACCGTAGTGTGACATGTGAACCATAATAATATTAGAGTTGTTGTGTACATATATCCTCACGAAATTCAAGATATTTGACTATTTCACTTACTTAAGTGCCATCCAAACTATCATTTGTGTCAATTAAACCAAAATGAGTGTTTACAAACATCGTCCTGAGCTACACCAAATTTAGTTTGTTCTGAACAGGTTTTGACTTCATGTCGACCAACTCGGCTTTTTCAGATGAACTTTCCTTTCAACCTTATGATCAATACTCCAGTCATATGCAAAATGACCACCTAGTAAGTCACTTCAGCAGGTCCGACACTCACCATGTGCTAATCGAAATAGCAGTTTGGCCTCATCATGTTAAGACCGTACTCAAGTAGTATCGGATCCGAAGGGCTTTGGCCTCAGCTCGTGTGCTGTGCCCCTCTCCCGAGTCTTGCCCCTTATTTCAGAGTGCTAGAGTATTGTGTCTAGTGAGACGGATAAGTATCATAACGGATCCGTTAAGGCTTCCGGATATTGAATGTGTAGAGTGACGGCTAATCCGGATCAGATCCAAACTAGAAACTAATGGGTGAGGACTGTCCAATGTGATGGGGCATGCCGGTGGGACGTTCCAGAGGGCTCGATCAGGCAGGAGCAGGCAGAGTAGCGGAGTGCTGGAGTTAGGAGCAAGGTGAGAGGTGACAGAGGCCCGGCGGTGTCCGGGGTCATAGCAGTAGACATACAACTCAGTGCATGTTTGTAGAGGCCATCATCATCCATGCAGACACTGACAGTCAGGTTCTCTTCGGTCTCTCGACCGCAGTGCTGGCCAATCCATCTGGTGATGAGAGTGGGGCAGCAACCCAGCACTCAATCTTAGATGCAACAAGTTCGGGGCAAATCAATGTGAACAACTGTGCAAGACTTCAGGGACTTACGCATACGGGAGAGACTCGGAACAGAAACCCAATTTCCCTTCCTACTCAACTCACTTTCTTTCCAGCATTTCCAGAGGATCAGCTACCTACTACCCCACTTCGTCGTATTGTTTCACTTCCGCCTCACTTAGGGCGTCAGCACGCACCATCAGAATCGGACAATATCGGAAGCCCTTCTCATACACTGTACTCAAACCAATCCTCCCCCAGTCAGAGTGAGGAGCCAACCAGAGACTTCACCTTTGCTTTGCGGGCAGCTTACTTTACTCCCAAACAAAACGAGAGCACACCTTCCTCACCCACTACAGTCTCGTCACTCACAATCACCCAACCTACCCCCACTCCGCACATTACCAATTCGATACTACCAATCATGACTAATCGCGAGCATCCAAGGATAGTACCGCTATTCAAGGGAGATTATGGAGACAAAGAAGAACCTACTGAATGGTTTCTGCAGTTCGAGTTATCACTGCCCAAGACCTGGTTTGACACGCAGCGAATAGACTGTTTTGCAATGCAGCTTGCTCCAGGGCAAATAGCGGAAGAATGGTTCCAGGGTCTCTCGTCCACACAAATCAGTACCTTCCTAGGTCTCAGAACTATATTTAGGAAACGCTGGCCACCTCCCAAACGACCCAAGTACTCATGAGCGCAGCAAAAGGAACGGGTCATGGCAGAGGTACTGGACAAGAACGACATCGGGTTATGGACAGCAGGCAACTATGGACATGTGGTTTGGGCGACCAAAGTGTCGTGTTTGTCCCTAGGCATGGGAGATACGGAAGGATATCTGATTGAATATGTTATCAAAGGTGTTCCTAATCTATTGAAGGACCACCTCAAGTGCGAATACGCAGATTGGGATGAGTTTCTGGAAGATGTGCAGAGTGTCTCGAGCGTCAAACTCAAGAGAGGTCGAGAAGACTTGAACAAGGAGCGGGCCAGGGACATGGATATCGCAAGATTGAAGGCGCAACCATCATTAACATCCCTCCAGTACCAGTTCTCTCAAATGTCGACGAATGGTCAACGGTCTAACCCACCAGCGTATCAAACCTCAATGCGCATACCAACACTACCTATCCAGTCAGCAGTCCAACCGAATGCAGCAGGAGTCATATACCCCGTGTTGAACCCAACCCCACCAATGACAGCACCAAATAACCAGGTCATGCCCATGGGAGCAGGACGAGGAGCAGGATTTGGGATGAGGGGGGCACCGTTCATGCGGATGCAGTTAACCAGAGTGCAAATCATGGAGAAGTTAGCCATGATGCCCCAGAGAGCCAATACAGAGGCTGGAGTACGCCAGTACGAAGCAGATATTGAGCTATGGCATCGCAACCACGGGGTAGAAGGATTCCCAACCCTTGACAAACCATATCCGCTCCGTCCAGGCAAGGCACTTAGCGGCTCTGGGGAATGTTACAGTTGCAGCATGGTCACAGACCCACTGCATGTGGGTGCCCAGTGCATCGCACAAGAGCACCTAAGGTCACAGGAGTCTCGTTGGCGACAGCAAGTTGCAGGTCTACTCAGACGCACTGCATTGCCGACAAATCGCCTAGCATATTCAACAGCCCCGGTTCAGTATGTGGCCCCAGCAACACACCCTTATTACGGCTCATATGGAACATCACTCCCAGCTCTGGTTTACTTAGTGGTGCAACAAGAGGAGCATAGTGGATGGGATGGGCAAGATGTGTGGACCACGCAAGAATCAGGGTATGATTGGGGGATGGAAAATTATGTGGGACCGCTGCTGCAGATGGACCAGCAGTAGTCCCAGTAAACTCCAGCCTGTCAGTTACCACACCATCTATCCAACCACCTGATATTCCTTCCCATTATGAACCACAAACCACGCCGCACGCACAAGATACTGTATATGATAACACTAGCTCCGAAGTTCCTCTACCAAGGGACATAGAATCTTCATCTCTTAACTCTCCTCTGCCTACTACTTTGGTTGTACCGTCTCCTACACCAAACAATGCTATTACTGATGTTTATTTGGTGGACGCATCTGGTTAACCCGCATGGTCTCGAACAAGCAATCCATTCTTGACTGTGCCACACCTCCATGGCCCGCAAGGCAAGAAAGCACGGTTTCTCGCCATCGTCGACAATGGAGCAATGATTAACACCATAGACACAGCAGCTTACCAACGAATTGCATGATGCCTATCCCCGCTAAGTCCATCAACTAGAACTTTGCGCATGGCTGATGGATCCCTAGTTCCATCCACCAGTGTCTGGACAGGGACGTTCACATGGGGATTCACCGCCATTCACCAGGGTTGTTCAGCATCATTCCGTGGATCCTTGCTTTCCTTGCTTCCCCTTTAGGGTCGAACGTTCTTGCATTCTGCGAGTATAGCAGCTAGGCAGAGCTGAGACTCACTTATACTGGCTGAGCACTTTTCTTATATGTGCCTGCCAGGTTGTGATACCCACAGCGCATACCTTCCATGCACCTGACACGCTTATGACAGACGGTGGGTCACACTTCGACAATGGAAGTGTGCATGCGTGGTGTACAGCACACAAATCCAAACACCACGTAGTTGCAGCTTATGCGCCCTGGATCAATGGTTTAGTAGAGAATACCAATGGGAAGCTCTTGGGAAGATTAAAGAGACTATGCAGTCCGGGGTTGGGAGAGGACGAGTATGAAAGCACAGATGCAGAAAGCCTAGCTAAGTCATGGCCGGATCACTTCGGCAGTGCCATACGTCAATTGAACGAGCTCATCATTCCCACCTTCAAATTTTCCCCAAAAGAGCTACTATTGGGCCTTGTTGTCAACACCAACCCGACTCCAGTCGTAGACACGTCAACGGAGTTGAGTACCTCGGAAGTTGACGTCCACATGGCATACGTCGATCAGCAGCATTTGGATGGTGCAGACCATACTGTCGCCCACTCCACACGACGCAAAGCCACGTTCGACCATAAAGTCCTCCACTCGCATACAGGTGAAGTCATATTTGAGACTGGACAACTTGTACAAGTTTATGCTAATGCATTAGACTTTACAATGGCATCAGCGCACAAACTACAACCGCGATGGTTAGCCCCGCGTCGACTTGTCGATCACATCGGCAACTCATATATGCTAGCTACCCTTGAGGGCTTCCCACTCAATGGACTATTCCATGCTAGACGCCTGCGGAGATTCATTCCATGCAATGGTACAGCACTAGCAGAGCTACAGGCAGTGTTGGGAGACATGAGCGAGGATGACGAAGCAGAAATCAATAGGCCATGGGAAGATGATCTTCAAGAAGTCGAAGAAGAGTTAGAGGAGTCAGACAACTTCAAGGAGAACGACGAGTAGAACTGTGTGCGCCCCCGGAGGGTTGCATTCCTGGGGGGGGTATATGTGATGGGGCGTGCCGGCGGGACATTCCAGAGGGCTCGATCAGGCAGGAGCAGGCAGAGTAGCGGAGTGCTGGAGTTAGGAGCAAGGCGAGAGGTGGCAGAGGCCCGGCAGTGTCCAGGGTCATAGCAGTAGACATATGACTCAGCGCATGTTGTAGAGACCATCATCATCCACACAGACACGACAGTCAGGTTCTCTTTGGTCTCTCGAGCGCAGTGCTGGCCAATCCACCGAAGACAGAGGCGGATATATAGACTATAGGAATCAATCCTAAGTATCGGAGTAGACAGGAGTATCGTACTCAAGTCTGGACAGATAACGGAGGGACTTAGAGTCCAGACGGAACGAGTGCAATCTAAGATGATATTCGAACTGATCTGCTACAGCGCATGTACAAGGGTTTATATACTATGGATAACTAATGGAATGATCAATAAGCAAAGGCGCGAGGCTATGTACAAAGTATAAGTAAAGTATGTGCACAGCATATTGGTAAGACGGATGGATCACGAATCATGAACTGGGAATGAAGTATAAGTTAAAGCGGATCAGTAAGTGTAGCGGATCAGTAAGCATAGCGGAAGTAAAGGATAACCAGTATACTGGTGTACAGGAATACCAAAAGGAGATGAATGATAGTTAGAGTTACATGAACAGGACATGAAATAAGAATCAAATCGGATCTGTGGACTGGACGACGGATATATCCATCGGATCTGAGATCCGGATCTTCGGATCTGTACCTGGGTATATGATCACCATAAAACAAACCACCACTAGAGGGCAACAAAGTCAGCACAATGTGAGATGATCAACCATATACTCTACCATGACAAATACTGACACACCAGCAGGCCTGTACCACCTCCGAGTTGACTGTTTCATGTAGTTCATGCTCCAGGACAGGTTAAGGCTAAACAGGGTCCAGCCTCCACTCTTGAGGTTCTGTTTCTATTGCAACCATTTCATCAAACACCAGGACCCATTCAAGCATCACAAATTTACCTTCAAACTCTGGTTTTGGAACGTTGGGATGCAGAGATAAGGCGCTAAGATGAAGCATGCAAAGCTCAATTATTGGAACACTTCCAGGGCCCTGTGACTCACCAACTGTTTGTGTAGGAGATGATAGCACAGCATTGGGATGCAGAGAAGAAGCAGTGTGAAGAGGCATGCAAGGTTCAAATATTAGAACTCCTACTTGCAGCTCATGATATCACTAGCCTAGTTTAGTCAGTTGTCAGTTAGGCATGAAAGGTGGCACAAGATGATGTTAGTAATAGAAAAGACAAGAGAGATGATGATAGTAACTAAGGCCAATGAGCATGAACTAAACATTTGTGGAGGGAGAAATAGAAAAGATGAGAGACAATGCCAATGAGAAAATGGGTAAAAGAAAGGGCATGCAATTTATGAACTCCACATTTGTGGAGGGAGAAATGGAAAATATGAGAGAGATGAAGTGGTAGTAACCAAGGCCAATGAGAAAATGGGCAAAAGAAAGGCCATATGATATGTGAACTCTATGTTTGCGAGGGTGATATGTGAACTCTACATTTGCAAAGGCAGAAGTAGAAGGGTTGCGCTGGTTAAGGGTTTGTGAAGGGAGATATCGAAGGGTTATGGTTGTGGTGTCAAAATTAAATGTTCCTGGAAAAAACTTGAAGGGTGCTAGTAAGTGCATGGGTGGGTTGTGGTAACAGCAGTCAAACCATGCCTTCTTGTATGTTCTGCGGCAAGGTATCAACCACGCACGAAGATCTCAACAGACACATTGCAGGATGTCCTGAATGTTAAAAGCAGTGGGCATCAATGATTGAAGATGTTGAGTCAGAGGATTGGGATGCACCACCTGTTGACTTCTCCCATGATAATGCTGCTCCATGTCCAGGCTGTATATACTCCCACCCATCTGCTGATATTGACAACAACCCCACTCCCAGCAAAAGTCGTTGTGTTGCTATTGAGGAAGTTGAGGACAAGGACAAGACATTCTTCCACTCTGGGCGTTATTTTGAACCTCGTGGAGATGCTGGCTGGGCAAAAACTTTTGAAAGGCATAGAAGATATCAGAAGGAAGAGGGTGAGCATGCATGGGTGCCCTTCAAAGATGTGTAAGTGCTTGAACATGGCATTGGTGAGAAGGGAAACTAAACTCACCAGGGAAGAGTGAGAATTGGCTCAGTGGCTCATCAAAAGTCTCTGACAGACACAGACTGACAAATATTTGAATTTACCAATAGTATATTAAAAGTGTTGACTGAACTCACGATATTGATACCATGAACAGACACAAAACCACATGAAAGTCTTGTTCCAAAACAACCACTCTTTCTTGCAGAGGGTCGACAATCTTCCACATGGACCAGGTTGGAGTTGCAGGAAGGTTACTGTGTGGGGAAACCTTGAGGATGATAATGGAGTACCATTGCAAGAAAATGTTGAGCTTTGGAGTTGGGATCTGGTAGAGTGTGTCAAGGAGTTAATTAACATCCCTTTGTTTAAGGTGGATATGGTGTACTCACCTGCCAGAGCGTATGTGGACTGTGTAGGCCAACATAGAGTGATTGACGAGATGTGGACGGCAGACTGGTGGAGCGAGACACAAGTAAGACTATTCAAGAGGGAGCAATGAAGAAACAGACTGACCTTGTAAGAAGAAAGCCTTGCCCAAAGGAGCCATGATGGCGCCAATTATTCTATCATCAGACAAAACCTGCTTATTGCAGTTTTAAGGGGACAAGTCAGCATTGCCAGTGTACATGTCTATTGGCAACATCACCAAAGCAAAAGGCATCAGACATCAGCACAAGCAATGATTCTTATTGGTTACTTACCTGCAGGCAAATTCGACTGCTTTACTCCTAATGCACACTTACTGGCCAGATACAGACTTTTTTATCACTGCATGGCTCTACTACTCCATTCTCTCATAGCTACTGGACAAGATGGCATTGAAATGGTGTGTGCAGACTCACAAATTCATTGTGTCCACCTGATACTGGCAGCATATGTTGCTGACTTTCCTGAGCAGTGCCTGGTTTCCTGTTTCAAGGAGAATCATTGTCCAAAGTGTCTGGTGGCAGGGAATGAGTGAGGTAACAGACTCAACTCGGTGATATGTGATCCAGAGTCGATGAAAGAGATTCTGGAAAGGTGCAAGAACAGTCAGCATCCTCTGGAATTTGAGGAAAACAGTCTACACGCCGTTCATAAACCATTCTGGGCAGATATGCCTCATTGCAGTATCTTCCTTGCATTCACTCCTGACCTTTTGCACAAACTCCATAAAGGAGTGTTTAAGGACCATCTTGTGAAGTGGTGTGTTGATATTGTTGGCGAGGAAGAAATGGACGTGCATTTCAAGGTGATGCCTGACTATCCAGGGCTCTGTCACTTCAAGAAAGGTATATTGGCTGTTAAACAATGGACCAGTGTCATGCATGGTATGCAACTCATACCATGACAGATACACAAGAGGTGTGATAAGGAAGGTATAATAGACCCTACTGTATCCTATCACCAAGTTACCCCATCATTTTCCCCCTAGTTATTAGCTAGTATTTTCACTTTCAAACTTCACTTCCATTTTTCCATGTATTTCTATTTTGTTCTATGACATTCCATCTCTTTCTATTTTTCCTAGGTACATTCAGCCAACAGACTTTTCTTTTCAGCCACCAAACATGTTTGTAAGCATGTCATGTGACTGGTAAATATCATGATTTGTCATGCTTTGTAAGATTTCTAACTGTATTTATAAGCTACTTAGTAAGAAGGCTGATTCAGCACACCAAATGGCATTGTTTGTAAGCACATCCTTACCAATCCATGTGATGACTCATGCTATGATTCATCATGCTTTGTAAACTACACTGTAGTTATAATGTAAATTAGTAAACAGGCTGACTCACCACACCAAATAGCATTGTTTGTAAGCACATTCTTACTAATCCATATGATGATTCATGCTTTGTAATCAGGGCCTCCAAAAGGTATATAAGGAGCCCAATTTTGCCATGTAATAAATGGAGCACTTCCCACCTTCACTCATCTTAAACAGTGTGAGATTAAGTAAGAACCTAAGTACAGGCAAATCATTAGCCTCAAAGTAAGACTAAAAAACATTTATTCAATTATATACTACCTTACAGGGGTTGATTATATAATCTATCAGCTAATCTAACTAGGTTTAACCCATACTATTTTCCTCTCTCTTTTACAGGAAGGGAGACATGATTTATGCTACACATTTCATGCTACACGATTCACGAGCATGCTAACACTCAGACAGATTTCATACCGTAGACTCAGTATACAGAATTCAATTGTTTTAAACTAACCAAGGAACAAGGAAAGAAGGTATATTAAAATAAATCCTCCCAAGAACTCACACATTATCTACCACGAAAACTAGAAAAGTTGTAGACCATGTACTTAAGGACTGGCAATAAGTCTTATCCTGTATAGTTGTGTTGTCACTATATAAGCAGCGTACATAAGACCCTTAAGTAAGAGGACACCAGAAGTGAACACAAAGAGATGCAATGAGTATTTATTGGCTTACTCACAGGTGCAGTGCCTAGGTGCGTGTTTGACGAGTCTTGAAGGTCATGTTTGTTGATGTTGTGAGGTGCCAGCCGTGTCTTGGTAGTTGCACGACCGATTCTTGACTTTTTCTATTTTGCACAGCTGTGAATTCACACAATGGACATGCTTGAAGCCCTACAGACTGCGCTGGCCATGTTTCATGCCAATAAAGATGTCCTGAAATAACTCACTGTTCAAGAACACTTCAATATACGTAAGTTACACCAACTGACTCACTATGTTGATTCAATCACCTTGTTAGGTGTAGCTGATGGCTTCAATACTGAGCTTCCCAAACACTTGCACATTGACTTTGCAAAGGATGCTTACCATGCAAGCAAAAAATGGGACTATGAAGAGCAAATGGCTGTGGCTTTGTGGCAGGAAGCAGTGTTTTTGCATGGTGCATACCTGCATTGGGTGTCACAACAACCTCTCTTTAGAGCATCATTCCTTTGGTCCTGACTCAGACTCAGACTCTCCCATCACTGCACTGAGCTCACAATTTACTACTGCCGAACAAGTTCAAATAACCCACATCCTTGCAAAGGTGCTGGCACATCCTCACCAAACAGTTGCAAAAATTGTGACAGTGCATGGTGCTATCGATTTTCTCACCGCTCTCCAAACTTTCCTTCGCAAGAACCTCCCACACACCACCATTGTACCTTGCCTTCACAACCATTTTGATGTTTATCGTCAAGTGGTCATCATAGCGCCACCTGATCAACAAGTCAGTGATGTACCAAAGTGGTGGCACATTAGAGCCATGCCAGAAGTAGTTGTGTCAGGTCAGAAGCCTAGTTGCCCAGCCTGGTTTGACATGGTGCTGATATCAGACAGGCCTCAGTCATCACACTTGCGGACTCTTGATGGTAAGTTTTTTTTGGTCACTCAAGGATCATATCTGACAGTGATCTCATGCAGGTGTGAATGGCTCAGGTTCACACTATATTCTCTCTCCCTTGTCAATTTGGAGCATACAGCAGAGCCCTCACTTATATTGAGTGGTTGCCATTCAGACGTCCAGAACCCTCCTCTCAAATGTGACAAGTGTCATGTTCAATGCGCCAACTCCACTTTGGTCACCCCATTTCAGGTACCTCTTAGGTTGTATTATACCTATAGAGGTTTTCACCTAGGGGGTACTTTTCAGGTGGTCTGGCCATGTTTGTGTGGTCTTTCCCCGAGTGTATAGGATCCAAAATGAAATGTATTGAGCATGGTCCAGGGGTCAAAATAATTTTTGCATGGGAAAGACCACCAGCCTTTTTTGAAAAAACCAACTTTAGACCACACATACATTGGAAATTTCCCATGGTGCAGGGGTGTCAGGGGTCCTATTATGACCCAAAATTTTGGGCAAAAAAAAATGAAAATTGTGATTTTTTTTAAATAAAGGGTCCTGCAGACCTGGTTTCTATATTATTGTGACAGGACCCAACCTCTCTATGGCCTATTAATATATTTCATCTTTAATGATCCCCAGTGGTGTGAAAAGGAGGATGAGTGTGCAGATTTCTGAGTGGATCTGATAGGCAAATCATCAGCGAAGACTAGGGGCGAGCAAGATAATATGGGATATGAATATGTATCACCAAGTGACTTGTATGAGGCTAGCCTGAGGGTAATCATCACAGAGGGTCTGGTGCCACCCATAATGGCCTCGTGCTTTATCAATTAGCCTCTAGGTAGCCACACATTCTGCACTGTTGGCTCTGAGGAGCCTCAATCTGCCTACCCTTGAATCTGATTGTAGTATTCTCTCTATATTGTCACATAATAAGCATACTCTAGATATGTTTGTACTACTACTAACAACCATGATGCCTAGCAAGGCGCAACTATCTTGCAAGTCTCAAGTTGTATCTTTTGGCCTTGGCCACCATTTTGTGAGCCCATAAGCCCTATGATAGATGCTACATACTGTATCACACTATATGGTATGTATGTAATCTAACATGTCTGCAGTCATGCTTTTTACAATGGTGTGTGCTTTTGCAGGAACAATAGCACCATCTTAAGGCATCTGGCATGACAGTTGAACTTTGAAATGAGACTTATATTTTGAGAAGGGAAAGGGGCAAAATAATGAGCAGATCTGAGGTAGCAGAAAATAAGCTACATAAAGTGTCTTCCATACCTCATATCCAACTCTGAGAAAGAAAGTTGTAAAGCTGTGAGGGTGAGATAGTGAGATCAAGCCAATTGCCACTTGTGAGGTATCAAACACAAAGACATAGAATATACATTAAAACCATTGAGAGAGTCACTGGGAGAAAGCCAACATGCTTGTGAGGTATCGAGCGTCAAACACAGGGACATAGTCCCCGTCTCCTGTTTCACATCCTGAATCACACAGAATGGAACATGATGAATAGATCCAGATTTCAGGTTGGGATTGACATAGACAAAGGGTTTGGAAGAAGCATGGTGGTAGAAAGGCATGGTTGATATATATGAGAATCTTGGAAGGATAATGGCAATGGAAAGCTTAGGGTTGATATGGAGGGAAGGACCACAGTGGATGGGAAAGGTCAGTAATCAATTATGGGAAGGACCACGGTGGATGAGAAAGGCCCGTAATCAATCAAGGGAAGGACCACAGTGGATGGGATATCCCCATAATCAATTATGGGAAGGACTACAGTGGATGGGATAGGCCCATACTCAATTATTGGAAGGACCACGGAGGATGGGATAGCCCCGGAATCAATTATGGGAAGGACCACGGAGGATGGGATAGCCCCGGAATCAATTATGGGAAGGACCACGGAGGATGGGATAGCCCCGGAATCAATTATGGGAAGGACCACGGAGGATGGGATAGCCCCGGAATCAATTATGGGAAGGACTATGGAGGATGGGATAGCCCCGTAATCAATTATGGGAAGGACCACAGTGGATGGGATAGGCCCACAATCAATTATGGGAAGGACAGGAGACAGGAGATAGGGCTAGTCTACACATAATCTCTGTATACAACCATGGCACTAATCATGGTCACCCTTGTCCTTAGGTATATCTACCAGTCAATACTATGCTTGCTTGTTCCAATATTCATGCTTAACACCAATTTTCTTGCTTGCTGAATTGAGTGTGAAATCAGCCCATGTGACATGTTGTGACTCATGATGATATATGTGTCACTGCCAACTTCTGTGGTGTGCTGATTGGAGTGTAAGGTAGGATGTTATATGCAGCGTGATTTTAATTGTATTACATGGTGTAATTGTGGAGAACTCGTCTGATTCAGCATGTAATTACAGTAACATTGTCGTAATACAATCACACAATGGTATGGAGTAGAATATGGTGTACACAAGTGTTGATTAGCATGACTCAATGAAATGTTGATATAAAAGGTATAGTGATGGGGGGAAGGGGGGGGGGGGTGAAATTTCCATAGCAGAAACTTACTGGGCCATTACAAGAGTGGGGTGTGTGATATTCACTTAGACGTCAGGAGAAGTATATAGATCTGCCACCTGTGCAATAACCATGCTTTTGTGCTAAAAATTGAAATATTGGTCAATCAAAGGAAGTGAAATATAGTATGACGTGCCCACCATGATAATGTCCGCATCAATGTCCATACATCACTCCAATTCATCAGTCACCTTGGCAATAACCATGCTTTCATGCTAACAATTAAAATATTGGTCAATCAAAGGAAGTGGAATATAGTAAGACATGCTCACCACGACAATGTCTGCATCAAAGTCCATATGCAACTCCAATTCATCAGCCACCTGTGCGATAACCGTGCTTTCTTGCTAAAAATTGAAATATTGGTCAATCAAAGGAAGTGAAATATAGTATGACATGCTCACTGCGACAATGTCTGCATCAATGTCCATATGTGACTCCAATTCATCAGCCGCGTGCGTGATAACCATGCTTTCTTGCTAAAAATTGAAATATTGGTCAATCAAAAGAAGTGGAATATAGTAAGCCGTGCTCACCAGGACAAAGTCCGCATCAAAGTCCATATGCAACTCCAATTCGTCATCCGGCTGATGGATTTCCTGTAGCAATATTAAATGAGATTACAAGAGTAAAGGTGGGACATACCATTATGACGTCTCCAACCACATATGTTGTGCCTTGAATCATTTCATATAGTTGGATTAGACGGGAGATGAAGTTGAGGTAGCAAAATCAGATGTATTTGCAATCAGATGTATTCTGGAAGTTGATATCGAAGTCTAAAGCATAAGTCAGCAAGCAAAAATAAATGTTAGATTTAGATCGTAATAAGATTGTGCAAGGACTCAGTAATTTTGAACATTTATCAAAATTATTGGGTTCTCACCCAACATCAATGGTTAACAAACACACATTTTGAACATAAGACGAGGCCTACATGTACCATAAGTAACTTGAAGCATATGTGATGAGACAAACATGTGAATGCATAAGAAAAACATACAAAAAACATATGAAAGGAATAAGCACAATTAGTGGCCGAGTCCATTTGCAAATATCTGGATTGTATGTTGGCATAACATCGTTATATGCATGTTGATATCGAAGTGCTCCATTGTGGGACAGCTCATATCAAGGGTGGTGTGGTGTTCAAACTTTCTGTAGCCTTGCAAAGGCAGTTTTCACTATGCAGGTCTTATTGACACTTTCCTTAGATTAGGTTCGCACTTTTGCTGCTTACATAATCGATTCACTCTTTACCTAGGACTCTACAGTCATTACCTAGTTTCCCTTGTTTCCAGTTCTTTGGTTGCTCCCCATTCACTTGGGTTATTCAGTAGCATCCCCTAGTTGTAGCTTTCCTAGTTGTAGCTTCTCAGCTCACCAGATAGCTCCTGGAACATGGCTTTCTCACCTTGACTTGGGGTACCTTCCTCACTCTCTTTCCTTGAGCCTGAGCCTAGTCAGAGATCCTTTAGGGTCAAATGTTCTTGCTAGCAGGAGTAGCAGCTAGGCAGAGCAGGAGACTCATATATTTTGGTTAGGTGCTTTTACCTACAGCCCAGCCAAAACTTGTTCACCACAGCAGGACCGGACATGCGAATAACCTGAGGTTGGCACAGGAGTTGACGAGCATGAAATAGGAGGGGGAAACGAGAATTGCGAAGATGGTGTTGATGGTGACAAAGGCAGGAGGTCATCAAAGACTCAGTTAGTAGGGTGACGTGAGCGTGGGGCTTCCTGGGGTGGCGATGAAGGTGGGAGATCCTCATAGATAGCTCAGTTAGTATATTGATGAGAGCACGAAGCTTCACGGTTGGAGCTCAGAGCTGCATTGTTGAAGCGTGAAGCTGTCTGGTTGGGGCACAAAGCTCCCATAGTTGAGCGTGAAGCTGCTGGATTAGAGATTGCAGGTTTTTTGATTACCTCATTGGTGCGGCATCCAGGAGTGTCGTCTTGTGGAAGGTCCTTGATGAACTTCTCTGAGTCTTGGAGGGAGTGAATGACCCTGCCATCAGTGTCGATGACGAGTGGGATGAGACACACGTTTGTGGCCTGTGTCTCAAGAGCAAGAATATCACCTGTGGTTGTGATATCAGCTCATGTATGATTTGCAGTATCCAATATGTACTTTCAGGCCATCTGCTGATATGCAATGTTACCCTCGGCTCCTCTGCAATCGGCCCCTTCTTCCTTCCCTTGTCACCTGACTTCTTGGATTGCCTTTGCACTTCTTTGCCTTCACTGCCTCTGCCTCGCTGTCGTCGTCATCAAGGCCTAACTTGGCCTCGTACATGGCTCCGAGATGAATCCTGAGATATGGAGCAACCAACACATGTAGTTGACTTGCAGATAGAGCCTTGAGGTTAAAATTGGGGCCAGGCGGGGGAACACCAGTGGGCCAGTCATGTATGCAAAGCTTCTCAGCATACAGGATGTCCAACATGGTCAACCACCTACTGTTTGAGGTTTTGAGCGGTGTCCTCTTACTTAAGGGTCTTATATACAACACGTATATAGTAACAGCACAACTATATAGGATAAGACTTCTTGCCAGTCCTTAAGTACACAGTCTACAACTTTTCTAGTTTTTGTGGTAGATAATGTGTGAGTTCTTGGGAGGGTTTACTTAAAAATGTCCCCTTCTTGCTTTCTCTCTGTGGGTTTGCTTTGAGGCCTTTCTCAATTGAAAAGGTTTATTTCACCCTATGAAAATTTGCCTCAGTGTGAAGTAGTTCCCTTAGCTTGTGTCTCCCTTCCTGTAAAAGAGAGAGGTTATTTGTATGAGTGAAGTTTAGTTTTAAGTTTAGAAGGTTAGTTTATTATATAGTCAGCCCCTGTAAGGTAGTATATAACTCAGATAGATATTTCTTAGTCTTTCTTCAAGGCACCAGTTTTGCCTGCACTTTATTTCTTAGGTAATCTCACTTGATTTGAGAACAGGGTTTAAAGTGGGAAGCTTGGATTGACAGTGGCAAAATGGGCTCCTTTTATACCTTTTTGGAGGCCATCTTACTAAGCATGATTCAGCACATGGATTGGTAAGAACATTCTTACAAATCAATCCTTTTGGTGTGTTGAGTCAGCTTGTTTACTAACTAGCTTATTAATACAATGTAATATTACAAAGAAAGATGAATAAAAGACATGAGTCATCCCAAGGATTGGTAAGAACATGCTTACAAACCAATCTTTTGAGTGAGCTGAATCAGCCTTCTTACTAAGTAGGTTATAAATATACTTGCAAGTCTTACAAAGCATGACAAATCATGACACAAACATGATGAGTCAAGTTGAATCCTTACAAATCAGATTATTAACCAGTCACATGACAAGCTTACAAACATGCTTTGTGACTGGAGAGGAAGTCTGATGGTTAAATATGCCTAGAAAAATGAAAAGAGATAGAATCCCATGGAACAAAATAGAAATACATGGAAAATGGAAGTGAAGTTTTGAAAGTGAAAATACTAGCTAATAACTAAGGGAAAAATGATGGGGTAACTTGGTGATAGGATACAATCTGGTGTATTATACCTTCCTTATTACTCCTGCTATGTATATGTCATAGTATGAGTCACATACCATGCATGACAGCGGGTGGCTGGCCTCAGCTACACAATATATAGTTAGTACAGTAGAAATACACTGCAATTAAAAAATGTACAAATTTCTCACTGATCATCATGGGCGCCACCTTTCTGTTCCTATCCCTGGCTGGCTTGCCGTTGTACAAGAGGGTACCATTTGAAGTGGTGGAAGAAGGGGGGAGCAAACTGAAAGTCTTCCCTTTGGCATGTGCGGCCTCCAAGTCTTTGTACCTGGAAGTAATTTAGCACTGACACCTATAATTAATACAAGACACACTTAAGGATTGTGGTGAGCTCATCTAGCTAACACTTGATATCCAGTTGGTGTGAGTTGATGAGGGCCTTGACCATGTCGGAGCCAGCGAACAGTCCTGATGCTTGGCAGCCTGCCTCTTTGTCACCAGGGAATATTGCAACACCAGCAATGTGAATGCCATGGGTGCGATGCCAGTATGCAGCCTTGATTGTAGTTAGTCTCTGGATCAAGGTCGCATGAATACAACACTTACCGTTTTTGTGAAAGCATCACAAACAGCCATCATCAGACCTGCAGCAGATCGTGATGTAAGGTCCTTGGTTGAACCTGCGACAGCATGATCCCAGTTCTCCAGGATCTTCTTCTACACTGATGCGTGCTGAGGGTCACTGTGTGGGTGGGCCTTGTAATGAGCTCATTGCTTCACCTTCCAAGCCTTTAAATCTGCTGCAAAAGTTGTTAGCATTAAGAAATCAATAACGAAGACCGCAACACACCTGGTGACACAGCTCCTGATCCTCCTTCAGACGGGGGGCAGGTAGCTGTGAACCACGTCTGATGTTGGTTCCATGGAGACTCCTTCCGGGTGGCCTTCATCGTCAACCCAGCTTCGATGAGGATCGTCCTCGCACTCTTCCCATATTCTTTTCTGAGTGCTCTGGCAGCTTCCAATGTATTCTTCCTAAGCTTCTGCACCTTCGAGATACCTGCTTGAGGAATTCTCCCTTTGGTCTTCACAAAGTCTTCTTTGTCGTCCTCGTCTTCGCTGTCATTATTTTCATTGACATCCGCCATTACCTTGAACTTTTGCTTTTGTGTGGCCATCAACCGAGATGGAGATGATGGGTTGCTTGCAGGGGAACCCTTGTCGTCGTCACCATCATTCGCAGCAGCATAAACAGCAGCTCATTGTGCTTTCTTGTGCTGCTCTTGGTCAGCAGCCCAGTCACTGTCAGATGGAGAGCTCTCTTCACTGTCATTGCGATCAGGTGCATATGACTTGATGCCGCATGACCTATGCGGGCGGCCAATAGCAGGAGTAGCTGAATTATTTCCACCATCCTCTGTGCTGTGTCTCAGCACAGGCAGCTGTATGCACAATTAGTTGAGGTATTAGATATAGATGAATGACTATGGCTCACCTGAAGTATCCTTGCCATGATCCTTGCTGCCATGCCCTGTGTTGTGCAACTCAGTAGGAGTAGCTATATTCACAATTAGTGAAGCTATGAAATATGAAAGAATGACTATCTCACCTGAAGTCCCACCATTGGGGTCGTTTGATTGAATTTCAGAGGCAGGATTTGGATCCTTGCTCGCAGTAGTGCTGTGTGCTTCAGTAATTAATGCAGGAGCTGGTAGGCAACAAGTCAATACAGGACATTCACACTACAATAAAAACTGTACTTGTTTCTACATCACCATCTTGGGCATCAGCGGATATTTCTTCATCTGCAAGGGAGTAGAATTCAGCACGTGTCAATTAAGTGCCATCAGCAAGTTGAACATGAGACATGCGGGATTGTTGATCTGTAGCGACATCAGGGGTCTTTTGAATCATTGATGAGTGCCTTGAGAAACTGGTCTCAAAAATCTCCTCCTCAGCAGATGAGGTCATGGGGCCAGAATGTTTGGACCATTGTCTTCTTACTTGAGGGTCTTATATGTTGATCAGAATACAATGACTATCACAATTGTATTCTTTAAGACTAAGGTGCCAGCTCCTCAAGTTCACGGTCAATGGATTTCTTCTACTTCTCGGTTGATAACGTGGTGTTCGTGGGTGGCCAAAGGGTAATAAATTACTTCTTTGCTAGATCACTTCTTGATAGTAAAGGAGTAGTATATATTTTGTCAGGTTAACTTAAACCTAGTAGGTAATATGAACCTCTGAACTGAATGTGGCACGAATACGTAAACGATGGATAAAACGATAGATTATTGTATAGGCAATCCCTGTACGATAGTATACAATCAATCTAGACTAAAGAATACGATTGTTTTCAAAGGCAACTTGTAGGCCTTCACTTTCTTCGTGATCTCACAGTGTTGAGACAGAAAGTGGGAAAACTCCTGACTTCAAATTCCTACGTTCCCACACGGTTTGGGAAAAGAATGGAAGGGGAAAAACTTAATATATTATGTGAGAATGGAGTCCTTATATACATTTTAGAAATCATCCTTACTAAGCAATGAGTCATCACTGGATTGGTAAGATTATGCTTACAAACCAAGCCTTTTGGTGTGCTGAATCAGCTGCTTACTAAAGTACAAGAGTGAAATATTACAAAGCACTGTAAAATATTATAAAGTATGACGAATCATGACAAAACATGATGAGTCATGGAAAGTCCTTACAAATCAGAATATTACCAGTCACATAACATGCTTACAAACACATCTGAGTGGCTCACTGATGTAATCAAGTGGCTGAATAAACATAAACAAATAATGGAAAGAGACAGAAACTACAAATACAACTAAATAAATAGAAACAAAGCTTACATAAGTGAGAAGTATATCCTTTGTACACTCCTCTACTCATCTCCTTTTATACTGCTATTCATATATGTCATGGTATGAACTCCATACCATGCATGACACCGTGCAAGTGGATGAGGCTTGGGTGGAGGACGACAACGAGTTGTAGATGACTAAGAAGTTAGTGGGGACACTGACATATTTGCAGACATAGCTTACTTCTTGTGGATCATCGTTGTTGTCGACCATAACACTCTTAGGCCCAGTGCGACGATGAGGGCAGGGGCATTTTTAAGGCTGGGGGGACTAAGTAATGGAAAATCAATCATGATTGACAAACTTTGAAAAAAAATACTTGCCTGGATGTTGTCTGCACCAGACTCAGTATGAATGTCCGCTCCCTTGCTGTGAGTCTTGACATGACAGGAGTCAGCTACTACAGACATCAAGGAAATAAAAAGAATACCTTGGGTTTATCAGGCAGAGGGTGACACCTGACATGACGACCTGAGCAGGTAGTAACAGCGGGCATTTTCAAGAGAAATGATAGTATTTCTATGATCATGGAGATACGTGGAATACAAGTTGAGAACTCAAAGTTTGCTCAACAATATTTGGTCAACACGAAGTCAGACAATGTATGGATAGTAGAAGATGGTGAACTGCAAACAGTATTGGATTGAGAAAGTGGAATTTGACGCACTCAGACTTGAGAGACTCATTACCTTTATAGTCTGAACTGCGGACATTGTTGCCATAAACGCTAGGGTATAGCACTGAAGCTAAACCTGGTTAGTGCTAAATAATGGAAAAAAATATATTGACCTTGGCCTTACTGGAATTCAATGATGGATCAAAGGTGGGTGGCTACGTACAGTGCCTGGATCCTTTAGATTGGTCAAGTCTGAGACTGACTAAAATGAAACAAGTGCATCGCTGGCTGGGAGATAAGCCAATGAAAACCATGTCTGGCAGCCAAGGAAAGTTAGCGGACAAATCAGTGGTAGTGAGCACCTACAAAGCAACACTCCTAATACATTGATGCAAATCTGGAATGAGATCCAAGACAGGAGAGGTTGAGGCCCACTGATATACAACCCTGACGGCGAGATTGGCCAATGAAAGATGCAGCTGACCCTGACTAATACAAAAATGAGCGGGATGGATCTGACTGATTGGCTAAATCCAACTGTTTTGAGAACTTATGTTTTGAGAAGACAAATTGCTGGTTGGTCAGCGGTCAGAGGCACACCCAAGCCTGCCAGTTGCTTAAGAATAAGTCAGATGCTAAATGTATAGCAGAACATGTAAGATATACCTTGTTGAGCACCAGCCACTAGCGGATGAACGTTGAGAAATATGAAGGGTGCTTGTTTCCTAAGAATAAATCAGGATTTTACAATATGGTATCAAGAACATACAGTGGCTCAAAAAACTGTCCGTATGTTTTGGCATTTTTCACTATCTATAATATTGTGTGAGAACAAACAAATGCCTCAAAAACATGCTTATACCACATTGTAGTATGGCTTCAGGGCTTTCATTTGAGCCCTACAACCGTGGGAATCGGTGGAGATATGGTGGAGATACAAGGCTCACAAAATGGTGACTCATGCGGACAGTTTTTTGACTCAAGTATTTTACAGTAATAACCAGGTATTCTAGTATTTTGTATGACCTCCCTTGGCTTTAATTACTGCCTCTATCCTTCTAGGCATACTCTCAATTAATTTCTGGCAATCCTCAGCTGTGATCTTCCCCCATTCCACTGCTACTCTCTCCCAAAGCTCCCATACTCCTTTAGGGGGGTTTTCATAGGCTTGAAGCTTTTTCTTGAGTGTTCCCCAGAGATGTTCAATGACATTGACATCAGGAGACTGTGCTGGCCAGTCAAGAACATTGATGTTATGTTCTTCAAACCATTCCCTAGCTCTTCTGGATGTGTGCTTGGGATCATTATCCTGTTGGAAAATGATATCTTCTTCATCAATCCCTGATTCTGCCAAGCTAGGCAGCAAGTGGTCATTTAAAATGTCCACATACTGCTCAGCATTCATCTTCCCCTCAACCTCAGCAAGCATTCCCACACCATTCCATCCCATACAGCCCCATACCATTAAAGAACCTCCTCCAAACTTGACAGTCCCATTAACCTCTCTGTCTGTTAGGCCATCTCCCTTCTTTTTCCATACATACACCTTCCCATCTGACCCAATCCTATTGATTTTGGTCTCATCTGACCATATAACATGCTTCCAGTCCTCTACAGTCCAGTGTTGATGAGCTAAGGCAAAGGCTAGTCTTCTCTGCCTATGTTTGATGGAGAGAAGAGGCTTTTTTCTTCTTTGTTACTGCCTTGAGATGAGCTGCCTTGAGAACATTCCTCACAGTTTGTGAAGAGACAGGGGTAGTGATGGTGGAATTGATATAATGGGTGGCTTGGACAGCATTATCAGCCTTTCCTGTAGTGATATGTTGGATAATAGCCCTTTTGTCAGTAGAGGTAAGCTTGGATGGACGTCCTCCACAAGAGTTTTCCTTGTCTGGGTGGCTTTCTTTGATGAACTTGGCCACAGTGGACTTGCATATTCCAGTTCTAGAGGAAATTTGGCGAGCAGAGAGGCCAGCATAAGACAGAGAGAGGATATTATCTCTTTGAGCAGAGGAGATGGCTTTCATGGTGATTATGACTATGATACATGAGATATTCTGGTTTATATAGTTAGATATAGTCATAAAATAACATAATGACACCACTTTATAATTTATATAATAGTGGCATGATTTTTATGGTGTCATAAATAATGATTTATATAGTTTTAATATACACTCAAAAAAACTGTCCACATGAGTCATCATTTTATAAGCCTTATATCTCCACCATATCTCCGCCGATTCCCACGGTGTAGGGCTCAAATAAAAGCCCTGAAGCCATACTACAATGTGGTATAAGTATGTCCTTGAGGAATTTGTTCATTCTCACACAATATCATAGATAGTGAAAAATGTCAAAACATGCGGACAGTTTTTTGAGCCACTGTAAGTTATACGTACAGTTTGGCCAACAGATGGGCAAGTAAGTGTGAGGTGGCTGTTGATGTGCAGGTACTTGTGACATTGATCACATCAGTTGGATGATAGTGGTATCCTAAATGGTCACGTCTATGCGCTTGTCACAAATGAATAAAGTAAATACACTCACCAATTAGCGAAGTCTTAACAGATTGTTGAGTAGTTGGGTGGTTTGAAAGGAAACAATATCCTCCGTTGACGTATGAATGGAATGTCGCTATATGAATGAAGTGTAGATGTGACTCACCGATGGCATAGATAAATGTGTGTGATGAGATCTGAAAGTGGTGTAAAGTGTGATGTGCATCAGGAGACATTATTATACATGCAAGATATTGAAAACTCACCGATTAGATTGACGAGTGAAATGTGAATCAATTGGCACACCTGCAAAATGAGATAAAGTCTGCAGGAATGTGTGACGTACCAGGAAAGTCAAGGGCAAAGGCGAAGCACACCCAAGAGGGTCTTCAACCCCACTGACGCAGCAAAGTATGAGCGACCGGGGCGACCCTCCAGACGCGAAGTCCAGGAGTGGGAGATCAGTGACGTGAAGTCAACTGATCAAATGAGTGAACGGCACAAAGCCAATTCAAAGTGCCAGGAACCATTGTTGTTAGACCTATGGAGGGTGGGGAAGGCAGGATGATCAGATTGAGGGCAGGGAAGGCGGGATCGAGGGCAGCAAGGATAGTATAAAAGGACAGAGTATTGTCAATGTGGATGAAAGAGTGAAACTTGTGAATTGTGGGACTTTCCCACAAGTCCACAAACATCTGCAAACTTTGACTTTTTGACTCAATTGAGAAGTTCCCACCAAGTTCCCACCTTGTTTCCTCATTTCCTTCTCTGCATTCCCTTTCCCCAGTTCCAAGTTCCTTCTTTGCCCTCAGACCACAACATTCACATGTCCTTCATCACTCACATCGCTCAGCTCATCACATGTCAAGCCCATCAAGCTCATCACCGTGATTGATCCAACAACAATGATTCCTGGTGCTTTGAATTGGCTTCATGCTGTTCACTCATTTGATCAGTTGACTTCGCATTACTGATCTCCCACTCCTAGACTTCGCGTCTGGAGGGTCGCCCCGGTCGCTCATACTTTGCTGCGCCAGTGGGGTTGAAGACCCTCTTGGGCATGTTTCGCCTTTGCCCTTGACTTTCCTGGTGCGTCACACATTCCTGCAGACTTTATTTTTGCAGGTGTGCCAATTGATTCACATTTCACTTGTTGGTCTCATCAGTGAGTTTTTGATATCTTTGATCTACAATGTCTCCTGATGCATATCTTACATTATAGTGCTTGTCACTTTAGCTATGTCTTCCTTTTTGGTAAGTGTCCTTTTGATTATCTCACTAATTGTATACTGACCAGCGCTTAGACTCTCACCATACCATACCAAACTCTGAGTTATGTTTGCCTTATACCTGTCAGCACATCTTCTAACCTTCACAGTTTTCCATCATGCCCAATGCTCTGACGATGTTCAAGGGTGACCCAACACTTCGTGCATGTATGTGATATTTGTCTTTTAGCATTCTGACTTCCTTATGTGCATGTGTCCCGCAGCTTGGTTACAATCTTATGATGCCCTCACCATCGCCGTCCAGGACAATCTAGTCATCACTATGCCCAACATGCAATTCATTCCCAAGTTCCACCATTTCGAAGAAGAAAACATACAAGCCTGTGCCAATGGTCTTTTCAGTGTTGTCAACTGCTTTCAATGGCCTCAAGCCTATGACAACATCTTTTGCAATTCTGTCTGCATTCCTTGTAAGGAAGCTTACCCATTCCCACACCCGCTTCACTGGGCGTGGTACACTCCCAAGAAAAAGGACTTCAAGACCATCCCAGGCAATTTGTTTCCTGTAGGCACACTTGCCTCTGACAAGGTTGAAGGACTGGAGTCACTCCTCAAATTAGTAGACAAACATGTACAGGACTGGAGGGTCAATTGACAAGGCAAAAAGGATGTCATCATCAATCGTGTCATCTCTCTTCGACATGGTATCTCGCGGCTCAAAAAACATCCCCGGACCTTTTGTGATCTCCTCATCTTCGTCACGGATGCCCAATGCCTCTTCCTCAAAATTCACTCCTGTATGGATTGGGTTCTCATTGCCCAACCTCACATCTCCTCTGGCGTTGGGACTGTCACCATCAATTCAGAGTGGATGGGCACTTTCACGCATGAAAGTGACATGTGCAACAAGCTCCACATGGCTGGTGTGCCTGTCTGGTATGTCTGCATGATAGCATATATACCTGCCAATATGAAGGCCCACAAACCCACATTAATTACACATCCAGATGACATTGTCATCTCGATGTATGTGGAGGGCAACAGAATCCACCCTTACGACATCATTTATCATGGCCAAGGTGGCCACCAGCACCAACTTCACGTTCATCACCTGTACAGCAGCACAACTTTCAGAAATCCTGACGTCGTGGTTCCCCCGTCCACTTCATCCAGCAGTTTCTCTACTCCCAGTTCTTCTGCTCTTGTGCCATCCTCTCAAACATCCGCTGCTGGAAGAGCACCTCAACATAGTCTCAAAAAGCATAGGTAACAACCTTGTAAGTGAACCCTTGCTAATTGCTTTGTGTTACTTACTAATGTATCAGACACAAAAGAGGCTCGGCCCACCAAGCCCTCCCGGTCAGGGGAATCCAGGGACAAGTGCTATTCATCATGTTCCATTCTGTGTGATTCAGGATGTGAAACAGGAAACGGGGACTATGTCCCTGTGTTTGATGCTCGATACCTCACAAACATGTTGGCTTTCCCCCAGTGACTCTCTGAATGGTTTCAATGTATATTCTATGTCCTTGTGTTTGACGCTCGATACCTCACAGGCATATTGGCTTTCTCCCAGTGACTCTCTCAATGGTTTTAATGTATATTCTATGTCTTTGTGTTTGATACCTCACAAGTGGCAATTGGCTTGATCTCACTATCTCACCCTCACAGCTTTACAACTTTCTTTCTCAGAGTTGGATATGAGGTATGGAAGACACTTTATGTAGCTTATTTTCTGCTACCTCAGATCTGCTCATTATTTTGCCCCTTTCCCTTCTCAAAATATAAGTCTCATTTCAAAGTTCAACTGTCATGCCAGATGCCTTAAGATGGTGCTATTGTTCCTGCAAAAGCACACACCATTGTAAAAAGCATGACTGCAGACATGTTAGATTACATACATACCATATAGTGTGATACAGTATGTAGCATCTATCATAGGGCTTATGGGCTCACAAAATGGTGGCCAAGGCCAAAAGATACAACTTGAGACTTGCAAGATAGTTGCGCCTTGCTAGGCATCATGGTTGTTAGTAGTAGTACAAACATATCTAGAGTATGCTTATTATGTGACAATATAGAGAGAATACTACAATCAGATTCAAGGGTAGGCAGATTGAGGCTCCTCAGAGCCAACAGTGCAGAATGTGTGGCTACCTAGAGGCTAATTGATAAAGCACGAGGCCATTATGGGTGGCACCAGACCCTCTGTGATGATTACCCTCAGGCTAGCCTCATACAAGTCACTTGGTGATACATATTCATATCCCATATTATCTTGCTCGCCCCTAGTCTTCGCTGATGATTTGCCTATCAGATCCACTCAGAAATCTGCACACTCATCCTCCTTTTCACACCACTGGGGATCATTAAAGATGAAATATATTAATAGGCCATAGAGAGGTTGGGTCCTGTCACAATAATATAGAAACCAGGTCTGCAGGACCCTTTATTTAAAAAAAATCACAATTTTCATTTTTTTTTGCCCAAAATTTTGGGTCATAATAGGACCCCCTGACACCCCTGCACCATGGGAAATTTCCAATGTATGTGTGGTCTAAAGTTGGTTTTTTCAAAAAAGGCTGGTGGTCTTTCCCATGCAAAAATTATTTTGACCCCTGGACCATGCTCAATACATTTCATTTTGGATCCTATACACTTCGGGGAAAGACCACACAAACATGGCCAGACCACCTGAAAAGTACCCCCTAGGTGAAAACCTCTATAGGTATAATACAACCTAAGAGGTACCTGAAATGGGGTGACCAAAGTGGAGTTGGCGCATTGAACATGACACTTGTCACATTTGAGAGGAGGGTTCTGGACGTCTGAATGGCAACCACTCAATATAAGTGAGGGCTCTGCTGTATGCTCCAAATTGACAAGGGAGAGAGAATATAGTGTGAATTGGGTATTTTCCTGATTCACTGTCTGAACCAATCTATGAATTACATGCACTAACCACTATACAAATGCCCAGCACTAGGGGAGATTGAATGATGTATGGATGAAATATAGCCTGTCAATGGCATGGCATAATTGGAGGACTAAATTGACTGTGTTGATTGGCATGCAAACAACTACTAAGTTTGTTAATAGTAGTACATAAACATTAGGATTTCAATAATGATAAAGATAAGGCGTGACCTATGGTAGACTTTGTTTTTTTTGAAAACCAAAGTTGTAGATATCCCCAGCTTTTACACACTTCACATATCTCTTTGTAGGTTTGTATTAAATGTCTATACATGCTTCTTAATGGCTCAAGTGTCAGGACACAATAATAATAACAACAATTGACACAGTTTTAGCACAGGTCTGCAAGGTACCAGTAGTAGCAGACTCCTACCCAGTCGGCGGTGTGTAGAGAGCCTTGATCCTAATTAGCCACACTGTGTAAATACAACCATACATGGTTTTTCCGACATAATTCCGACTTTTTGTTTTGGGCTCTAACACACCTAGCCAACTGGCACAACTTGCTGTGGCGCGAGGTTTGACCGTGTTTGTAGTCTCCCGTTTGTATCAGCTCAACGCACAAAGCGGAAAATAAGATAAAGGCAAGCAGAAGATTCGAATGCGGGGTCATAGGGCAAAAATCTACCTTGACTTACCGCAACACCACAGTTGCTTTCTTTCCTTACATGACAACAAATATATAACCCATTGGTAAGCCTGCTCACGCACACAAGAACTTTTCAGGATTCTACTTTAACAATAGCCGGACATTCAACTCAATCATTGCACAGTAATTACATCTATATGGTATATGGTATACTGGGTGTGTGAGCAATAAGAATAATTGACCCTTGGGGTGTAGTATCTGGCTATCATGTATAAGAGCCGGCACAGCCCAAGTTGTGTGCGTCAGCAGGCTTACCAATGGGTTATATATTTGTTGTCATGTAAGGAAAGAAAGCAACTGTGGTGTTGCGGTAAGTCAAGGTAGATTTTTGCCCTATGACCCCACATTCGAATCTTCTGCTTGCCTTTATCTTATTTTCCGCTTTGTGCGTTGAGCTGATACAAACGGGAGACTACAAACACGGTCAAACCTCGCGCCACAGCAAGTTGTGCCAGTTGGCTAGGTGTGTTAGAGCCCAAAACAAAAAGTCGGAATTATGTCGGAAAAACCATGTATGGTTGTATTTACACAGTGTGGCTAATTAGGATCAAGGCTCTCTACACACCGCCGACTGGGTAGGAGTCTGCAGTAGTAGTAGTGTACTTGCAAACAACGACATTTTGGAATTGAACATCTCTTATTTCATGTCTTCTACCTTAACTGTAGCCAGTCACAAAAGCGAGCAGTAAAATGAGAGGCGATACCAGGGTTCGAACCTGGGTTTCGGGAAGATTTGATGTCAAAATCCCGAGTGATAACCACTACACTATATCGCCTTGGGATACATTCTTTTCAGTTCTAATTTGGACGGGTTGTGCAAAATACACGTCGGCGTGCAGCTGCGGTTACAACTGCTTTCACCCGCTCCGTTCTATCATGAATAGCGATGAATCGTTTGCAGCATTGGTCAATGCCACCAATCCAGCAGCGTCCGGACACGGTCAGCGAGAAAACAACAACCCATACATCCATTCAGATTATAATACTAATATTACTACACCGTCTGGTTATCCTCCACAACCAAATCTCATGGATCCCTTCTTTGACGACGACGACGACGATGCTTCTCATTCTAATTTTGCTATGTACTCTGCTCAAAGACCGATGCAGTCCCAGGAGAGCGGTCTTCCTCTCGCTCGTTCAGCTGCACCCCCAGCTGGCGTAGGAGCATCTTCTACCTCTCTTGCAACAACACCTAACGGACAAACGCAAGGCTGGGCATTTGACGATGACTCCATGTCGCCCGCATTCTCAACTGCCCCTTCCTTCCCGGCAGAACCATCCTCAACACCTATGCGCCCGCTCAAACGACGCAGAAAGTGGAAATGGCCCTGGCAGAGGGACAAGGAACTCGCTGGCGAGCGTGTAATCACTCTCAACAACCCACTCATGAATGACGACTACTGCTCAAATTTCGTGTCCACGAGCAAGTACAACATGGTCTCGTTTCTTCCCAAGTTTCTTACCGGTCTGTCCCATCTGGTATCGCGTACACCACGAACACCAACTGATGCATCATTCTCGTAGAGCAATTCTCGAAATATGCTAATCTATTCTTTTTGTTCACGGCGTGCATTCAGCAGATTCCCGGTGTATCCCCCACAAACCAGTATACTACCATCGTACCCTTGGGCATGGTCCTCCTCGCTTCCGCATTCAAAGAAGTCCAAGAAGACCTTGTACGTTATTCCTCCGATCACTGACCTATTCTTACCTCACCTCAGAAACGACACCAATCCGACTCCGAGCTCAACGCACGACTTGGCAAGGCGCTCTCCGGAAACACTTTCGCCGCGCGGAAATGGAAAGACCTGTGTGTAGGCGACATCGTACGCGTGGAGTCAGATGAGTTTATACCGGCCGACCTGGTACTCTTATCCTCGAGTGAGCCCGAGGGATTGTGTTACATAGAAACTTCCAATCTCGACGGGTGCGTTCCTCCTCTGAATTTCCTTCTTTCACTGACAGGCACTCTCCAGCGAGACCAACCTCAAAATCAAACAAGCTTCCCCACAAACTTACTCGTTCACTTCCCCATCCCTCGCAAGCGCTTTGCACGGTACGTTGCGCTCAGAACAGCCAAATAACTCATTGTACACATATGAGGGAACCTTGGGACTGTTGAGCGATATGAATGTACCGAAGACCGTACCGTTGGGCCCAGACCAGATGTTGTTGAGGGGCGCGCAGTTGAGGAATACACCGTGGGTATATGGGATCGTAGTGTTCACGGGTCATGAGACGAAGCTCATGCGAAATGCAACGTGAGTAGCTCGACCTTGTTCGAGGCATTTTAGTCTGCAGAATCCTTGCAATTCCCTGTGATGTTAACCTTGGGTACAGCGCGGCACCCATCAAACGTACGGCAGTCGAGCGCCAAGTAAATGTTCACATCCTCTTCCTCTTCGTCTTCCTCCTTGCTCTCTCACTCGGGAGTACGATCGGCGCCAGCATCAATACAGTGTGTTTGATCTACTTAATTCATCAGAGATTAGGGCTGACAGAACTTTTACAGTGGTTCTTGTCCGGCCAACAATGGTATTTAGTGGAGCCAAGCACATTCACCGGGAAAGGTGAGTATCTCCTTATGAAAAGCTTACTCTGACCGCCGACTGATCACGTTTGATCAGCAAAAGCATTTATCG